GGGCCTTCACACTGAGCTACGCCCCCAGCTCTATTTTTTTTTTTTTTTTGAGACAGGCTGTCACTAAGCTGCCCAGGTTTGCTTCAAACTTGAGATCCTTCTGCCTCAGCCTCTCAAAGTGCTGGGATTGGGCTGGGGATGTAGCTCAGTGGTGCCACACCTGCCTAGCAAGGGCAAGGTCCTGAGTTCCATCCCCAGTGCTCAAAGGAAAAAAAAAAAAAGCACAAGCTCAAAATGCTGAGATTACAGGCATGTGCCACAGAGCCCAGCTCAGAAAGCTCAATTCTTTTTTCTATTTCACACCCATAGAGGTAGAGGCTCCAGGAGGTGACAGGCACCCCCAGGCTGTACCAGCAGCAGTGCTGGGGTCGGCGCCTTTGCCACATGCAGTCCCCAGAGCTCCTGGATCCCCTGAGGGACCAGGTGCCCCACACCTTCCCTCCTGCAGGCAGCCACCTGACCTGCAGTAGCTGTCGCTGACCATCCCGTACACCACGATCTCCTCACACAGCTCCAGGGCAAGGATCATGGTGAACCAGCCGGTGCTGAGAAATGACCCGGACTGCCTCCTGGGGGAGATGGGGACACGTCACGGCCCTGCCGACACCCCCACTCAAGGCCCTCTCCGTGCCGAAGACCACACGTGGGGGCTTCTGGGAGAGCCCAAGGCCCATGGCAAGCAAGAGGGGGAGCTGGCCGCAGAGCCAGGTGCATCTAACCGCTCCCCAAGCCCTGGTTTGCACCTGGGATGTTGGGGGCGGGGCTCTGGCCGAATCCTCTCCTTATCTAAGGGACCAGGCCTGGGGAGACAGCAGGTGGCAGCACAGACAGCAGATAAAAGCAGAGGGGCAGATGGGCATGACATCGCACGCCTATAATCCAAGCTGCCCAGGAGGCTGAGGCAGGAGGATCACACATTCAAAAACAGCCTGCAAAACTTAGTGACACCATGTCTCAAAACAAAAATAAAAAAAGGGCTGGGGCATAATTAAGAGGTAGAACACCTCTGGGTAGGATCCCCAGTACCCCTCCACCCACACACAAAGTAGGGGAGTGTTGTTTTCCATTCCAACCCTGCATCTGCTGTGGGACATCAGATTTTCCATCAACCTTCTCTGAGCCTCAGTTTTTGAAATGGGAGAAATTACAGGTGGCACAAGGGAGGGAACCCTGGCAGCCCAGCCCCACATCCCACGGGGATCCAGGTCTCGGCTCCAGAAGGCACTGGGTACCCTCCCAGCCAAGGTGGCCACCTCGCCCTCTAGCTCTTTCATCCAAACCTTCCAGTCCCGGCCCAGCCTTGAACCTGCCCCTCAGGTGCTAACTAACGCTCCCGAGGGAGGGGCCCGCTGGGAAACAAATATAAACAGGATGGAGTCAGAGTGTGACACATACTGCAAAGACAAGGAAATAGCAGGATGAAAAGAGAATGGCAGCACTCAGGAGGCTGAGGCAGGAGGACTACATCGAGCGTTCAAGATCCTGTGAGTTCGAGGAGGGGCAGGAGCAACAGGAAGAACAGTATCAAGGCACAGGAAAGGATTGGGGACTGGGTCAAGGTGGCACCCACGGGCACAGGAGGAAATGTAAGGGCTAAATACACGTGGGAGAGGATAGTGTGAGGGCAGTCAGGGCAAAACCCAAGTTTTGGGGTATTTTTAAACTTTGAGATGGGATCTCACTAACTTGCCCGGGCTGGGCTTGAACTTGTGATCCTCCTGCCTCAGCTTCCCACAGCACTGGGATTTTAGGCACAAACCACACCACACCTGACTCCGTAAGCCCAAGTCTTTGGCTGAACCACATGAGGCTTTCGGGGAAAACAGGATTTGGGATGTAGAGCATTCACTCCAAAGCCTGGTGTGGGAAGACGGCAGTTACTACCATAACTGATGCTCTTGTCATCAGAGCAGTCCCAGAAACCTGTCTACACCCTAGCTTGCATTGGCCAGGCCTGTGCGGACCCCAGCCTGCAACCCCGGCCCATGGAGAGGTCCCTGGCAGCTGCCGGGCTCACCGGTTCTTGCCGGTCTCATCCTGGAAGATCTGGTCGCAGTAGGCCATCATGCGCTCGGTGAAGGTGTAGACCTGCAGCCCCGGGTACATCTGCGTGAGCTGCAGCAGCGTGCGGTAGGTGCGGCCGCCCAGCGCGCGGTCCATGTGCCTGCCCTGGCCCCACACCACGTAGAGCGTGTCTCGGGCCTGCTGAAAGTAGTGCGAGTAGTTGCGCAGCAACAGCGGCACGCTGGTGTGCGAGATCACGCGCAGGGTGCTGCGCCGGCCCACGTCCACCTCGAAGCCCACGGTGGGCGCCTGGTTCATGCGCAGCAC